GAAATAATTAAAAGTACTTTCTACATCAATTGGTTTTCTATCAAAGCAGGTTTTAATTTTAGCCATATTTAAGTGTTTTTTCTTTTGCCTGACTGTTGTATTTTTGTTTCCCTTAGGCATGAAGCCGAGCTTGCTGCAGCAGCTAGTCAGCCTTCCTGTGAGATGATGACGCCTTTGAGTAGAGGGCAGTTGCTGGTGTGGCACAACCATTTGTGCTTCTTTTTAAGCCCCCTTGACCTTGTATTAGCGTTTATCATTTGAAATATTTGCAACATTTATATGCAGGATTTAGTAATGGGAATGTAGTAGTTAGGTTTCCTCATATATTGTTGGAATGTGTTTTCTTGTGGTTATACTTGCTATTGGATTATATTTGGTGTTGTCGATTTATGCTTCTCTAAAACATTTTAATGCATAGTTCTATATGTTCGAACTTGAATCTCTTAATATAGTTGTCGCGCACATACAGTCAAAACTTGGCACAATTGCAAATCCATGGGACTGTAGGGTAAATTGAGTGATTAAATGTGTAAGGAGTGACGACGAGCATTAATATAAGGCACGTTTTATGCGTGTGTAGAGGCAAGGTTCCCTCCAATGAACTAGTTTCACCAGTAATATTACATATACATAATTTTCATACAATATTATGTGGTAAGATATGATTGGTTAATTTAAAGTTAAAATTAAATTTTCATCCAATCATATGTTACTACATAATGTTGTATGGAAATCATGTATGTGTAGTATTATTCGTAGTTTCACATGGAATCTCAATTCTCTAGCCGGAAAATGCTTTATCAGTTTTAAATTTTAATGACGAGGAGGAAAGTCTTATATAGAGAGTTCTTTAGGGCCTTAGGCCCATTGTTTTAAAACCCGGACCGGAGGGCAAACCGTTTTGTTGTCCGGGTCACGGTTCAATCGGTCCAACCGGTTGGACCGGTCGGTTGAATCGGTGACGTCAGCAATATTTTATTTTTAAAAAATTACATATTAACCTCTTAAATCTTAATATATTACAAAAATTTCCCTAAAAAAGTTCAAATTGGTCCCTAAAATTTTTATTTATTCCAAAAATATCCCAATAAAATTACCAATTAATCCCTAAACTTTTGATATATCTTCAAAATACCCCTATAAAATTACAAAGTAACCCTCATAATTTTAAAATATTTCAAAAACCCCCCTGAGACCTAAACCAGACCGGAGAAGCTACCGGTTCACGGTCCAACCGGTCCGACCGGCCGGTCCGGACCGGTTTTTAAAACAGAGCTTAGGCCTCGGGATAGAAAGTCATAAATATTGAATTAGATCTACGTTTGGTATGGTTTTCCAGAGACTGTTGAAAAAGGCAGAGTTTGTATTGAGTTTACTGTAAGTAATCGAATGAGCATTTAAAATCCCTCTGGAAGGAGAAAGGACATGACCATATCCTTGTGTTAATCTTTCGTACTTCAATTATGTAATTGATTTGCAACAATAAATGATGGGTCAAATACTTACATGAACGGCCCATCATCATGGTTCAAACATACTCTGCTTTATCATAATCCTCATTCAATGGATCGACTTTAACAAAAGGAAATTCAATGATTCCTATAGTACGCTAGGCTTTCATCTCCATCTCCTAGGAGCCCTTGTTGAAGTTAAAAGAATATTAAAGCAGGAAGTAGGAAGAAGGAAAGTGGTAACATATAAGCCTGAAAGTGAGATGTGGATTTGGCAATGGCAATGGCAATGGCAATGGCTCCCAAAGTACAGCACTAGGTTAATGATTCAACATCTGAACATTCTAAACTTTATCAGGAGTCACGAGAAATGGACAATTCAATAGGGGTCTGAGAAGTGTCTGACATTTACCAAACTTTTAATCATGCTCGATACTTACTCACCTCAGCCTTTTTATGATTAATTGCAGTTTATTTAAATGTCATGTGAAATACAGATGGCATAAGTAGATGGGCTCTGACTGTTACTGGTACATTACATTCACACCCACTTGCCCGTGTCTGAGGAACCCAATACGCGCTCCCGGTCGCCTTTACTTAGCCCCAAAGGCGAAGGAGTTGTCATTTTCTGTGTCGGTTCTAAGCATAGTGAAATATTTTGGTTGAGTGAGTCGTGGATTGTAGGCAACTGTTGCCGCCCACTAAACTCCACATCATTCCAACCAATTAGTGGGGTAAATGAAAGCTGGTCTTAGCCATTGCCAGCATGTTTACACAAGGTGGGGTGCCTTCTAAAAGACAAATGTCCTAATTTTCAGGGGCTCATTGCCGTAGCCCAAGGCCCCATTTTTATACATCTTCTGTTTATAAGCTATAGGGTATCCACTGTCGGTGGATGGTCGGATCCCAGTTCCACTTGCTTTGCTTCCCCTTCCAATTCCTATTCTCTTCAATCCTTGTGTTCCTGCATTGCTATGTCGACCCTTCTTTTTTGGTGTATTGGCTATTCTTTCTTTCTTTTTCTTTCATCATAACTCTGTTTTTTGTCTTTCTAACTTTGTTATGTATCACGCATTAGTGTAACAATTTATGCATCCATATATATCTTTCATCATATCTAATCTTAGTCTTATATCAAAATACAACAGCTGTAAATGGGTCACATCACATCTATATGCAACTTTCTTTAAGCAAAATCGTATGGGTCAGAATTCATTTTTGGTAAAATTTCAACAGTTTATTAATTAAGGTTTTACATATTGTTGTGTGTGATTTTTCTATCAAGCTCAGAGCATCGCGAGGATATAGTTTGATCAAGAACCAGCTCGACTCTACCAATTGTTTGACCCAGCATAAACTCGTCGAGCTATAGCTCAACCCAGCATAAGCTAGTCGCGAACAATTCGAGTGATCGTTCAACCAATTCCCAGATAACTTCAGATCCTAGATATCTCGGGGAATGATCAGATTGACAATAATCTTTGCACAATCATAACGCCCAATCGCAAGAATATCGGAGTTACATTTTAATTTAATTGTAATCTCTTTATTTTTGCTCTCTCTTTTGTACAAACTCTGTATATAAACCCCCTTAAACTATGAGGAAATGGTTGGAAAATATTCCTAGAATTACTGTTGTAAGCTCTCATAGCAAATACATAGAACAGTGGATGTAGGCTTAAGAGTTCATCTCACCGAACCACTTTAAAATCCTTTTTGCCATTTACTTTACTGCATTCATTATCCATTCATTGCTAGTTATCTGTAATCACGCACACACCAATTCCGATCCCGCCAAGGTCGATTGGTTCGCTCTAGTTGGTGTAGATTACTGTATCAACATTTTGGCACTAGAAGGAGGGTCTCCGCCAATATCTCAGAAATTTTGGCAAACAACCACAGTGATCTAACCATTTTAGGCCCACGATGGTGCGTAAAAGATCAAAAACCACCACCAGAAACCACGACGATGTGGAGACCACCCATCAAGAGGTGCAATAGGACACTGTTGGGCGTCGACCACCATTGTTGCCATCTCATCATGCCATGAATAACTAGGAGGCAGGAATGTCAAACCTCGAAAACGGCCAGCTGGTGGAGATGATCAGAATCATGGTTACACAAGCAGTGTAACAGAACATGGCCGAGCTGAGAAATCAACAACCAATCGCCCAAAACCTTGACTAGCTACATTTCACTAATCCCACCCTGACGGGTCGGACTTCAGCCGGGGACTAATCTGGCTCATCGGAGCCAAGGGGCGACCGACACCCCCGACGTCAAAGGGTGCACTCTGCTCACGAGTATGAGTCACACAGGCGAACTAACCTAAGGAGGCGGCCAGGGAAACAACCAATGGGTGAAAGCGAATGTAATAGTCGCCCACAAGACGCTCAACCTACCCGACGACATCTACAGTGTCAGTGTGCCAATCTTAACCCATGCCCAAGACAAGCCCGATCTTTGCAAGCTTGCGAGATGAGTAATGTGCGCTAATCTGACAATGACCGATGTTCTGGTTATAACCGATGTCGTGAGCAACGCACTGACAAACATAATAACACTTATCAACCGAGCCATCATGACTCAACCGAGTGCATCAATGCGCGTAATGGAGGGGGTTTACAAGCAACAGATTTGCGAACTCACTTGCTTGAGGTAAGGTTGAATAGAGCCAGCCAAGACAATCACAATGAAGACTTGGATCGTGTGCATAAAATGCTCCACAATCTAAGGGTCTGTCAGAACGGTGCAGTAGAAGAAATAGTAAGTTCCCCCTTCACATAGGAGGTTCGCCAGGCCCTACTTCCACAGGGATTCAAGGCGTTAGAGAGTAAGTTCAATGGGAGAGGAGACCCTAGGACCACCTCGACAATTCCAATGACCTGATGGAGCTGCAATAGGTTTGTGACCTAGCAAAGTGCCACTACTTTGAGGTCACATTGGTAGAGGATGCCAAGAGGTGGTACAAAAGACTCAAGATGAACTCCATCAGTTCTTGGCAACAGTTCTCCTCGCTGTATTTGCAACAATTCCAAGCGAGGAGACAGTTCGCAATACCGCTCAGCTACTTGAGCAATATTTGTCAGGCGAGAGACGAAACCCTGACTTCGTGTTTAACGAGGTTCTAGAACGAGCAAGCAAAGGTTATAGATGCACCAAAAAAGTCAATCCGGACTTTGCTAATTGCAAGCATCAGGCCGAATACGGAGATGTGGAAAGAGCTCCAAAGCAAAGATCACGTGAGCTTGGCAAAGTTTTATCAGATGGCTGCAAGGCACCAGCGAGTAGAAAGCTCGTTAGTAGCCCTAATTAGAAGCTCGCTACGAAGTGCTCCAGACAAACGACGAGATCGCCCATCAGATAAGCGAAGGGGCCAAGACCGTAATGATAGGGACCATAATAGGTCCCAAAAAAGACAGAAAATAGATAACTGCGGGGATAGGCAACCTTTCCCGCGATACGCAGGATATACCCCCCCTCACGCAAGACATAACTCACATTTACGAAGTTTCTCGTGAGGCAAAAAGATAGCTCGCTCCAGAAAGGATGAAGGGGGCTCTGGGCAGAAGAGATTGGCAAAAATATTACCGATACCACCGGGACATCAGGCACAACACCAATGAGTGCCGAGCTTTGAAAGATGTCATCGAAGACCTGATACAAAGGGGTCACATAAAGAAATTTGTCAAGGAGGCACCAGCTCACAAAAATACTGGCGAGCAAAATAACCAGGTCCAGCAGGCCCCGACCAACGCCAACCATGAGGTCCTAGTGGGTATGATCTACGAGGGGCCCGAAATAGCGAAAAGCTCAAGGCGTGTCCACGAGCAATATGCTTGCGAGGCCAAAACATATTCGGTCCCCCAGGTAATGAGCTGCGAATATAAGCCGTCAAAGCGGCCCAGACAGGAGAGGGAGGTGGTAGGATTCACTTTTGAAGAATGCGAAGAATCCCTTTGCCATAATCATGATGCGATCGTAATCGCAGCTAGGATCGACAATACTAGAATGTTGAGGGTAATGGTCGATAATGGAAGTGCAACGAACATCATCTTCTTGGGAGCCTTCCGAGAGATAAGATTCATAGAGAGGGACATGAGGGCGTGTCCTTCACCACTCTACAGATTCACCGGGGATAGTCTGGTCCCCAAGGGAATGATCGACCTTCATATGACTCTAAGGGCATGACCCAAAATCAGGATAGTAATAACTGAATTCTTAGTGGTAGATTACTCAACCACATACAACGTCATCATCAGACGACTGATCTTGGATGATTTGAGTGCAGTCACATCAATGTGCTGCCAAGCAATGAGGTTCTCGACTCCCGGGGGAGTCGTGACGATGAAGAGCTGCAGCAAAGAATCTCAAGAATGTTACAACCGGGCCATAAATGCTGCATTAAAATGGTCACTCTCGAGAACAATGGTTATTAGGAGTCAAGACGATTAGGAACTGCATGAAAGAATCTCGAGAATGTTACAACCAGGCCATAAACGCTACATTAAAATGACCACTCTCGAGAACAATGATAGAGTCTGAACCACACCCTAGACCTCTCGAGGATACCATAAATCCTTGCATCCACAAAGAAGAGACTGCCGTAGGGCCAATGGAAGAGCTACGAGAAATATGTGTTAGTGAGAAAGATCCACCTCGCGTACTGAAAATTGGCAGTAGCCTGAGCAAAGAAACGGCCGATAATCTGGTAGGGTTTTTGAAGAAAAACCTTGACATATTCGCATGGGTGCATGCGGATATGGTAGGGATCAACCTCGAGGTAATGTGTCACGAGCTAAACATCGACCCAAAGGCTCAGCCAATAAGACAGAAAAGAAGGTCTATGGATGCAAAACGTTCTAAAGCGCTCAAAGATGAAGTTGACAAACTCTTAAACATCAACTTCATCAGAGAAGTAAAGTACCCGGATTGGCTCGCCAACCCAGTCCTGGTTAAGAAGTCGAATGGCAAATGACGGATTTGTGTCGACTTCACAAACTTGAATAAAGTTTGTCCTAAAGACAACTTTCTGCTACCACGAATTGACCAACTAGTAGATGCAATAGCTGGAAACGTACTATTTAGCTTCATGGATGCATACTCGGGATATAACCAAATCCTAATGTATCAGCTCGATGAAAAACATACCTCTATTATTACTGACCATGGGATTTATTGTTATAAGGTTATGCCGTTTAGCCTGAAGAATGCTGGGGCGACCTACCAACTCTTGGTGAATAAGATGTTCACCAACCAGATCGGCAAAACTATGAAGGTATACATCAATGACATGCTCGTTAAATCAAAGGTCGTCGAAATTTATGTTGAGCATCTGGGGAAAATGTTTGACATCCTCAAAAAATAAAGAATGAAGCTCAACCCCCTAAAATGTGCTTTTGGAGTAAGCTCGAAAAAATTCTTGGGGTTCCTTATAAATCAACGAGGCGTTGAAGCCAACCCAGAGAAGATTTAAGCTTTGCTAGATATGAAAAGCCCAACCAGCATAAGACAGGTATAGAGCTTGACAAGGCGTGTGGCCGCACTTAGTATGTTTGTTTCCCAACCATAGACAGATGTTTACCATTCTTTGAGACCTTGAAAGGGAAGAAAGATTTTAAGTGGACAGAGGAGTGCGAGAGAGTCTTCCAGGAGACAAAGAAACATCTAGGACAACCTCCTTTGTTGTCAAAACCCGTCCAAGGTGAGCCACTGCTATTGTATTTGTCGGTATCAAAGTCCACTATCAGCGTGGCATTAGTACGCGAAGAGGGAGGAGTATAGTGGCCGGTATATTATGTGAGCAAGAGGCTGCTCGACGCGGAGATTAGATACCTCGAAATGGAGATACTTGCCTATTCCTTTGTCATCGCCGCTAGAAAGCTACGGCCTAACTTCCAGGCGCACTCCATTCATGTGTTGACCAATTTTCTGTTGAGGAAAATAATGCCCGAGCCATCAGGCAGATTGATTCAGTGGACAATGGAAATGAGTCAGCATTATATAAAGTACATCCCGAGAATGGTAATCAAAGGTCAGGCTTTGGCAGATTTTATATCAAAATTCTCTTATTAGCTAGAAAGGGAACGAAGCCCGCTAGAGGCAAATACCTTGGACAAAATCAAGTAATAGAAGCCAAAGCTCGACAACCTATGACAATGGACTTTGTATGTGGATGGCTCCTCAAACGAGAAAGGGGCAGGAAAAGGGCTCTTACTTGAAAGTTCCATAGGAAACCCAATCAGAGCAGCAGTAAGTTTCGAGTTCGTCGCCTCCAACAACGAGGCTGAGTATGGGGCGTTGCTCAAAGGGATCCTCCTCGCCAAGGAAATGAGGGCGAAGTCCATCAAAATTTACAATGATTCCCAACTCGTAGTCCACCAGATTACCAGGGAGTACCAAGCGAAGGAAGATAGGGTGGCATCCTACCTCCAAATGCTAAAATCTGAGCTCGAGCAGTTTACATCCTTCATAGTTCTTTAGATCCTAAGGGAGAAGAACTCGGTAGCTGATGGTTCAGCCTGTCTGGCCTCTACAATGAACCAAGAGAAAACTAATTTTATACCAGTTAAATTCCTTCTAAGACCAAGCATTTTCGCTCTACAAGAACCAGTCTTAGCAACGAGTCAGAGTTACAGTTGGATGGATGTAATCATTGCCTACCTAAGGGATGGTATACTGCCAGAAGGAAGAACTGAAGTCAAAACACTCTACGCAAAGTCCGCTCGATACATGCTCATCAATGATAAGTTATATAAGCACGAGTTCAGTGTACCGCTACTACGATGTATTGACCATAAGAATGCAAATTATGTTTTGAGGGAAATCCATGAGAAGATTTGCGGGAACCATGCAGGAGGCATATTTCTAGCATACAAAGTGCTTTGTTAAGGTTATTACTGGCCAACAGTTTTCGACGATACAACGGACTATGTGCGCAGATGCCAGAGATTTGCAGACACTCCACGAGCTCTACTTCAAGAATTAACTACATTGACAAGCCCTTGACCATTTGTAATCTGGGGCATCGACCTGATCGGCCTTCCTCAGGAAAAATGGAGCGTTAAGTTTGCAGTGGTTGCCGTTGACTACTTCACCATGTGGGCAAAAGCCGAGCCTTTAGCTACACTCATGTCTAATAAGCTGAAGGATTTCGTCTACAAAAACATCATTTGTAGGTTTGAAATCCCCCACACTATAATTACCGACAATGGGAAACAGTTTGACAGTAAGGACTTTAGATCTTTTTTGTAAGTAGCTCGGCATCAAGAAGAGCTTCGACACTGTTTATCGGCCTCAAGCCAACGGTCAAGTAGAGGCTATAAACAAAGTCATCAAGCAAACCATTAAAAAGAAGCTCGACGCCCTGAAAAGAAGATGGGCCGAGAATTGCTCGAAGTCTTGTGGTCTTACAGAACAATAGTCAAAAGCTCAACAGGAGAAACCCCGTTCTCTCTCTTATATGGGTGTGAAGCAATGGCTCTGGTTGAAGTAGGGATCGGTTCATTCCGAATGGAAGTTGTTGATGATGAAGCCAATGAAGATCTTTTCCGCCTGAGGTTGGATCTAATCGAAGAACTTCGGGCCAAGTCTCAGTTAAGGCTTGCCTTGTATCAGCAGTGAGTCAGGCGATACTTCAACATCAAAGTCAGAAATAGAGACTTTGAAATGGGTGATCTAGTTCTCAGAAAGGTCATTCAGGGTACTTAAAACCCGAACTTGGGGGTACTTAGGCCCAAATGGGAAGGTCCATTCAGGATCTTCGCAAAGCTCTCACTTGGAACGCCTCAACGGCGAAGCAGTACTACAAGCCTGGAACGCCGAACATTTGCTAAGGTATTACCAATAAGCAGCTCGGGTTCCAAGCATGTGTTATTTAATCATTCATTGTAAGGCCGATTATGGCCAAAATGTCTTATCAATAAAAGAGGTTCAAAAAATTTCTTTGTTCATCATTGTTACTTTTACTTGTTTAGCGCTTATTATTCATTGCTTCAAAAATTGCGACCTACACGATAACATGTAGAAAAGAACTCAGAGTCGAGTCCGGAAAAAGGCAGCTTATCTCAATAAGCCACACTAAAATCCGACTATATAAGGGTGAAATATCCCAAATCAACAAAGTTAAACTTGGAAAAGTTCAAGAAAAACATGTCGAAGGAAATTGGCCCTAAGTTGGCGATCAAAACTGGAAATAAACAATGGATCCAAAGTCGAAGTTGTCGCATAAGATTTCCTTGCATATATTCGAAAAAGCTCCTCAAGAAACGAGCTACGCATAACTTTGAGCAAATTTAGATTTTTTTATAAGTCTAGTTAGGACGATTGAAATGACTCAACAAGATTATAAAAAAGAATTGCTCGATGAGGATATATTACAATATCTTCTTTTCATTAACGAGTTCGATTACAAATTTAACAAAAAAAAAAAAAAAAAAAGGAGAAATATAATGATCTTTTAGGTAGGTGGAGGAGCAGGGACATCATCTTCGGCCAGACTAAAGAACTCGCCACTGATTGTAAGAGACGGACGGTTCCTCGACAGAAGGAATGGTAGCAGCCTCTTCAAGGTTGAGAGTCTCACCCGAAGAAAGATCGGTAACTCTGGGGGGAAGTATAGCCAGGGGAGCTGGATCCTCGACTTTTTGCTTGAGGCCAATCTCCTCCTTACCTTCCTCGACCTCATCCTAGCCCTCACCATCATCCTTGAAATCATCCAAGTATACATAGACCATTCCCTGAGCTTCAGTCTTCATCCTATCAACCTCTCTCTAATAAGCTCATGGAAGGAAAGAGAAGTCAATCGAGGGGTAAGCTTCCCACAACTTCTGTACAAGGAAGACTAATGTCTGCCAAGCTTGAGTGGTGATAGCCTCATTCAGCTCCTTAATTTGAAGCCTGAGTTACCTGGCCTCAACTTTAGCTTTTCGTTGACCTTCCACTTCTTGGGCAAAGTCCAGCGAGGTCTATTTAAACTTGGTCTCCCAATCCGAGGCAGCTTTTTGGGCTGAGGAAAGCTTAGAATTCAGCTTGTTATTGGCACCCTGCTGCTGTGCCAAACTCTTCCCTGCCTCGGTTGCTTCGGCTTTAGTCTTAGCTCGTGTAACCTCGCTCACCTTTATCTTGTCAAGGAACTCCCTTTCCTTGACCTCGAAAGTTGCCATCTTCTCCCTAAGCTACTCAAACTCAAC